AATCAGACTCACTAGATGGCTTCTCCTCCTGACTTACAGAAGAAACAAGCCTTAACCCAAACACAAGAACTAGATGAGTTTTTAAAGGATGGGAGAAAACCTTAAATACCACAGCAATAAAGGCAAGGGCATGGACTTCAGATGTACCCACTCCATTCTTCCTTTCATGCTTTTTGTTTTCTTTTAAGGAAATCCTAAACCTTACCTCTTCCTGTATATTTCTCCTCTATTAGAAGGTCACAATGGCTCAGAAAAGCTTAGGAGTTGACTCCAGGGTGACACAGTTTGAGATCACAGTTTGAAAAGGCTATCTAAGCACACCAGTGCTAAGAAAGGTGTTAAATAACTTATTATACTAAACAACTACTGAAAAACAATCACTTCTTTTTACATGAGCTCCATTTAAAGTAGAAAGTTTCCTAGGATTATTATCTACTGTTCTCTGTGCAGATCAGTTACATTTTAGATACATTTTAAGAAAAAAAATGTGAAAAAGATTTTCTTTTAAATCTTTATTGTAAGGCATAAATTACTTTAATGACACTTCTTAAAATTGTTTGCATTAATTCTTAATGGCCTTAAAGTCTGTAATAATCTTCACTATTTAAAAATGTATATAGATGAGACAACCACAAAAAGCTGTGATGTAGATTCTCTCTAGGGTTGTAAAACTGAATATATCAAAATCAATATAAATTTTTTGTTGTTGTATTTTACATGTATGTCTCTGAATTTGTTCAGTAACAGTTTCTTGCATACAAAAACAAAATAAACCTACTAGTTGGTTTAAAGCCATGGCCACATTTACATTAAATATGATGTCTCTGATGACAGTTGTAACTGGGCAACCCATGAGTCCTGACCCCAAGGGATAATCCAGTCAATGTGTGTGCAAATAAACTGAAAGGCACTCTAGCAACACACGCGCACACATGCTCCAGATCCCATCATGATGAGTTCTCATAATGAGTCAGATCATGCACAGAGGGCTTTGAAGTTTTTTGCTAAAGAAGTAACTGTTTTGTTCAGCTACCAGTAACTCCATTTGATAGCCATAAACTTCCTACTTCGTTGTGATTTGGGACAACATTGCTCTAGTGACTCAAAAACATGACAATGAATTGTAACATGTAGAAATTCAAAAAGATCTCAGTATAGAGGTGATTAAAATATCAAGCTAAAAATATGAGAGAAATCAGTGTGTGTTTAACAATACTTTCTAAAAAGCCAGCCTTATATAATGCTGGAGTGTCACAAGCTCCTTATAAGCAGTGACATTTTAAGAAAAGTTCTGTCCATCTCTCTTCCCATTTACCCTGAAGAATGCTTGCTTTTCCTGTTGCTCTTTTCTGGCATTAATAAAATATCAGAAGAATAGAGAAAAATGCACAGTAGAAGAAGAGAAGTTTGTAATCCCAATTTCCAATGATGAGTTAATACAAGAAAGTCTCTACATTATAAATTATAATTTATTTTTAGAAACTCTAAAACAATTTTTTCATTGGCCACATTAGCAGTTCAGCATTCTCCTATAGGAATATTATGATGCACAGGTTTCTGGAAGCAATCAATAAATGCGGCCCTACTTGAAAAGCATGTTGGACAGGACAACTTCCAGAGATCCCTTCCAACCTCAACCATTCCGTGATTCTGCAATATATGGACTGTTGAAAAAGGTAAATTAATTAATGGTATCCAACATTAATAACAAATATTGATGATTGCAATTTTAAAACAAAATGTCTCCTTTCCATTTAAATTTCATGAATGGCCTAAATTTTAGAGTTTAAGCAACCTCTATATATGGCATGCTTACTAAGTGTAGGGCTACTTAAAAAGATTGTAATATTAAAAAATATTTCATTTTGAAGGTAGATTTGTCCCAGAATAAATCATGTCATTTGACTTAATTATACAGAACAAGGGCTTACTGTTATTATCTGATTATTAACCCCCACCTGAGTTATTTACATCTCAGTCTTGAGTAATCAGCATAATGACTACCTGCCTGTTGTGGTAATAATTAAGTAGAAAAGCCAGCAACAAAGTAATGAGGTTTTTAATATTCTTTTTAGGTCAGATATAATGAGCATGAAGTGTAATAGTAGGTCTTGAATATAATGCAATTGAGATTAATTTTTAAGAGGTTTAATTTTCTTCACTTGGATTTTTTTTCTTTGTTGTCAAGGGGAAGCTAAAATTTTTTAGGAGCAAAATAAACTAAAAGGTCTGATTATAATGTGTAGGACTCTCATGCTTCATCATCACAATATGCCAGAAGATGTAGAGCTTACTTGCACTTGAGCCATGCTTATGCAAGTATACACACACGCTTAACACCGTACACTACCCAGCAAGTCCATGTTGGTGCGAAATGTCACCATTTCAGTTGGTGGCACTTCAGTAATCTGCATTGACTAATGAGTAAAATCAGGAGACAATTTTTGAAATCAATGAGTTTATTCATTTTCAGATTTTTTCCAGCCACCTGAAGTTATGGATGTCTAATATTTACTCAGGTTAGGGTGACACTTCTTAGATTAATATCAGAATAATATCATATAGGGCTGGTTCAGGTTGCAGAGTGGTTTCCAAAGTGAAATGACAGGATTTTGCTGTCTGTGGGCATTGAAAATTAGAATCAATATTTCTCTAAGAAATATACTGTGGGGTGCTAGTACAGCAAATGGCTCTGATATGAAAATATTGAAGCACGAGCTCATTTTCACTTTAGTTCTGTTGGACTAGCATCTCAAATTCATCTGGAATTCTAGAACTGGTGTACAGTTAGGAGTATTACTTACAAGGGTTGGTTTTTCCGGAATATTAAACCATTGCTGTATTGAATTATTTTTCTGCAATTAATCCCAAATTATAGATTTTTCACTATTTCTTAGTATATTCTGCTTTATTCTCAGTGTTGACATTGTGATGAGCATATAATAATATAATATAAATGATAAAGCAAATGACTGTATAAAACAGTTGCTTTTAGAAGACCAGTGGGTTTTTTTGTTTGTTTGTTTCATTTTTTCTGAGCTTCCTGAATTTAGCTTATAATTAACTGTCTACTTTGCATTTGAAGACAAGTCAAAGCAATACATTCAAGCTGCATTAGGGATATATAAAGAAAGACTGTTCTTGGTAATGAGTTACCCTGATAGTGCATCCCAAGTATGTTGGCACTATTTGCTACTTTCTTAATAAGTAGTCTTAGGTAAGCGTTATACTTTTCTTGTAAGTATAAATATATTTTTATATATTTATATATATATATTAAATATATTTAATGTATATTAAGTATATATATGTTTATATATATTTTATATAATATAATATATAATATAATGATATATTATATAATGATATATAATGATTAAATATATTTTATATATTTTATATATAAGAAAAATATATTAATATGTATTTATTGTTTATATATTAATATATATATATTTCTTTCCTGAGAGAACTCTTTTTAGATTTTCCAGCTTTATCTGTACCAGTTTTGAAATCATACCTCTTGTTTTCATTTCAACATTTCAAATATATTCACATTGCTTAATTATATTTCTGTTTAAACTCCACCATTGCTGTTGGTTAGTTCAGGCTCACAGACTGTGGTAGATCCATGCTAATTATTTACAAACGTTTCCTCTGTGAAAGGAAAAAAAGTATCAAACATAAATCATTGATGACAATCTTTCATAAGATTCAAAAATCAAAATCTTTGTTTCATTAGAACACCTTCATAAAGGATAAAAGTTAGTGAGAATACACTAAGCTATCTGTGGATTAATAACATAAAGGCTTCAGTATTCTTACTTCATTTTGATCCTGACCCCTTTTAAACACTGATTGACTCTGATCATTTTCGAAATCTGCTCTGAACCATCTCTTTCATCAGTGCTCTGAATGAAAGATGAAATTCAGCAAGTCCAATACCAGTTCTCCCTTGAGGGTCTTCTCATCTGGTTTTGTTCTTTGTCTTTTTGTGTAATTTAATTTGTGTATTAAAGGTCAACATGTTTTATTTCTCTACTGATAGGCATTTTGATGTTTTTGTTTTCTAGTGGAGAATATTACTGAAAGCCTCAGCTCTGTAGTAAGTAACATAATCAGTCTGTGATAATTACATCAATGCTGGTGAGGCCAATCCAAAGGTTATTGCATGGCTGAGGTCAAAAAGGAGGAACAAAAGTTATTTGATGTATATGTTAAGGAATATACACCACCAGGTTATTATAAAATCCTCTGATGTTGCAAATATTTTTGTGTACTCATACTTTACAAGTATGAGTAATTCATTGATGGTAATGAATCTACTTGTGTCCATTTCAGATTGTGTTTGCTTATCCAGGAATGAAAGTTTATTACTTCCGTCACAGTACAGTTCCTCAAAAAGAATGTTTTAACTTGCTTTTCATATTTCAGTACAGTGATCCTTGCATAAGTCCTTTATGAGAAGATTTATGTCTTTAAACAGAAGGTAATTGTGTCCCCTCCTTTTGATGGACACATGTTTTACTACCATATTTTAAACCTTCTGTTAGTGGTTTTTAAGCAAAGTAGATACAGATGCTCAATAAACAAAAATACTGTGCTTTAACAGTGGTTTTAAAGGAGATCACTCTACATGATGTGTGAAAACTTGAAGGAGAGAGAATGTAGGCAAAGAAGAAAGTAATAATCTTTACTATTTGATCCTATTTTTTTTAATATGTTGTTAAAGATTAAAATGTTTGCAGAAAAGATTAACCACCACCAAAGCTTCAGTAGATGAAGCTAATGTTTAAGACTATCATTTGAATACTTCTTTTTTTTTTTTTTTTTTTTTTAAAGTATAGCTCTGTCAGCTAAATATAGTTCAGATTTTTACATTTTTATAGACCATGTGAGTTCCCTGCAGGCACATTTTCTCTTTTCAGTGATTTATATAGTTTGAATTATAGAGGATGATAAGCATTTGCTGTTCAGTAGTGTAGTTAATGCTCAGCCCCCTGGGTAACAAAGCAGCGAAGCATTTACTACTCAGTGGTAGTTCTGCAACAATCAGCAGCAGTGTGACTATCACAGTAAATTTACATCGGTACACTTCATCCTCAGGGAGTTGAACATAGAAAACAACTGGAACAGACATTTTCCAGATCTTTTGGATGACACAACTGGAAAAGTTTACTGTTGTAAGTGAATCAGAAACAGAAATCACAGATGGTACAACATGAAAATTATCCAGATCTTCTATCTCTCCTTTTTTTTTTTTTTTTTTTTTTTTCTCTAGCATTAAAAAAATAAATGCTCAGACTGGAAAGTTTTTGGAAAGTTGAAATTTGCAAAACATGCAGCATTGGCAGACCCACTGCAGTTCTGGTGCAGATGCCAAAGGCTCTGGGCCCTTCACTCTGGGCCCTTCACTTAGAAGGAACCTCCTCTCTCAGGTACTTGCTTTATAATGCTTGTGTTCCTGTGACTGTGATGAGAAAATACCAAGGTTTGCCTGAGTGAAGCAATAATAACACTTCTCTAGCAAGATATTTTTCTTCAGTAGGCAAGAAAACATTTTATAAAGGAAGCAAGTATCATCTCCTTTTAAAAAACGGGGAAACTTGAAGCAAAAAGAGGTTCCAGAAATTGGGCACAGTCCTTCAGCAAGACCGTGACAGAGTAAAAATACATCTGAGGTTCCCTGTCTGCTTAATGTTTTGACCACTGCAGTCAATGCAGCCCTCTCTCTCTAAAATGCATCTGGAAGCCTCAGGCTGCAGTACAGCCTGCGGTTAGAATAAGGACTGACAAAGTACATTCTTCTCCTGTAAGATATGAAAGATGAGGCAAAGGAATCTGCAGCAGGCAAGATGAGCTTCAGACTAGAAAACAGCAAGAAAGTGCAAAGCAGGATTTTCATAAGTACTCCATCGCCAAGGATGCCACTGTGATTGTGAGAAAAGAAGAAGGCAGTGAACCGAAGAGGTGTAACCCTGCTTTGGTGACAGGGAATCCGTAGGTAATGACCATTAAACCTAAACTGCATTTTTAATCCTGACTTGGTCATACAGTAGAGAGACAGTAAATATAAATGTAGGCACCTCAGTGCAATTCTTGGGGCAAGCAGATCTCTGTGGCTGTACATTTGGTTTTACAGCACCAGAGTGCCTGACAGGTTGTCTGCAAGAAGGCTTCATCTGAGAGGCAAGTCAAGTTTTCTGAAGACACTTTGTGCTTGCCTGCCTGCCACAGTACTGAAACAGCATAAGGACATCGTGAAGAGCCTCAGTAAAGCCAACATTGACAAGCAAGCAGAGAAGACTGAGGGGGGGTAAAAAAAACAAAAAAACAATTTGTGTTAAAGTTGTGGATACAGAGCTGCTGACATGTCTTGTCAATGATAAGAATGTAACCCTACCCTTTAGTTGTTAATAATTAAAAAGCAGCTTGATGTCATTGGAATTGGAATTGTTTTGGATTCAGCAAAAAAGAAATTAAGATTTGCAAAACTTTCAGAGTAGGAATGTGATAAATAATGGGGGGAATAATTATAAAAAGAAGAAATGGAAAGGCTGAAAATTGTCAGAAAATCCCAGAAGAGCAGTTCCAGTCAGTGCTGCAGTGGGCACGCATCTGCTCGTTGCCATCAGTAAACATGAGCAACAACACCCAGCCTGCATCCAACCTTAAAGCCTGTGGACACTCAGATAATGTGAAGAGGACCATGTACTTAAAAGGAGCCTGAAATAACCTATAGAAATGGCAGAGATAAATCTTACATGGTAAAAACACCTGGCCTCTTCGGTCACTCTGGTCCAGAAAATCAAAATTACATTCCAGTCCTAGAAGGAACTCTAAGTTTAAAACAGTGAAATGGAAGGGGAAAAATAAATAAATAATTAAATAAAATCGAAAAGATAAATGAAAACGTCACACTTCCTTCTAAGAGAAGATGAAGGAGCACTAAACTAATAGCAAACCAGCTTACTATGAGGCAGAATAATATTCTCAGCAGCTTCAGGGTTCACATAACTGACCTAAAGCTAAAAGACAGGTCTCTTGGGAAGAATGATAGAAATATCTGAATAATTTCAGTAGTGATATCAGAAGGAAATTGAGAATAATGAAGGATTTATTATGTCAAGATTCAGAATACATGGTCTCATAAAGAAGAGAGGAGCAACTATGGAAGGAAGATATGGTATTCGTGTAAGTCTCGGTGCAGATGTATGTAGTACAAAGAATATGTATGGCTTTATATCTGATAAAGCATTTACCTGTGCTGTTACCTCAATCCTCTTTCCTGTATTACGGTATGCCTAAGGCAATCAGAGTGAGCTGAGGCATAATGTGGAGTTACACAATGCAAATAAAGGTGATGATGTAGCACAGAGCATCTATTAGAAGTGACAGTGTGTATGATTGAAAGAATGAATATCTTCAACTTAAAGGAAAAAAATATTTCTGTAAACTTTGTGCAACTGAAAGAGAAATCGTTGATTCAATCAGAACGACGCTATATCAGATCACTTTTATAAGCTCTTTCCAGAGCAAAATCACAATGGAAACAATTGTGGATAACGTGCTGCAAAATACATTCCAGGGAATAATCCCATGCTGGCAGAGATTGAACAAGACAGTTTAATAAGACTTCCATCCCTAATTTCTCTCTGCCTATGATCCTTTAAGATAAAGCCACATAATTTGATGTTGTTTACAGCTTTGGAAATATCCAATACCTTCTGATTTACAGCTTGGCCTGCGCATAACAAAGTCCAGGTTGCTTGAGGAAGAAAGACACCCTAATCATAACAGCAAGTTTCAGATATTACATTGTCAACTCCAGACCCTCATTCCTATTTATTTATTTGTTTGCTTGTTTACTTACTAAATCTCTGAAATTAAATATACTGATAGGAAATATCAGCAGTGGCCAGCCTCCCCTGCAGCCTTTAGTAAATCCTCATATATCCTCATATGAGGCAAGATATGGAGTGAAAAGTGTTTGATTTTTTTTTTTCCATATCCAACTCACCTCTACTTCGTATGTTTTCTCAAAATCCTTGAGGGTTTTTGGAAATAATCTAATGTGTCCTTCCTTTTTGATTCACAATTTACTATGCACTGTTAACTCCCTTCCCAACATTTACATGAAAAGAGAGAAATCTTCATTTCTTAACTGTGTTGTGAAGGGGTGGTATCATAGCATTGAATGGGCTGCATGTACATTTCAGGTAGCTAGCAAGGACTGCAGAAACTGTCCTTTGATGGACAATGTGTAACTTTTTCAGGTCTGTAGTATTTCACATGATGTGGATTGACAGAAATCAATCCTTTTGTTTGGAGCACCTCTGACTTACTCATCTGTATTGGGAATCATTGGAAAGCTAAATTTTTGAGAAAAAGTTCAATGACTGAAGTCCCCAGCTTGGGAGTAGCTGTTATGGAAGCGTGTTTGGTCCTATCTCATCTACCTGTAGACATATACATCTTAAAATGAGAAGAATCACATTCTGAAAGTATTGCTCTCTCTGGTGACTAGTCTAGCCTTGGAGAACGGACACACACAGGCACTTCCATACACCAGTTTATCTATATATCTGTCAAAAGAGGAATGTCTTCAGATGACTGAGAGTAAAACTTATCCATCACATTTCAGTAGGTGAAGTCAGATGAGATGAATTTCAACCAACAACTGGAAGAATTACAAATTTTTCCTGGGGGGGGAGGGGGAGAAGAAAGACTGGGAAGGCTGAAGTCTGTAACAAAGTTGTGCTAGGCTGCAAGGTTTCAACAGCTGGTTCTCTTAACAGTGCAAACATGAGAAAAAAACATAAAACTAGTAGAAACACTTACAAAAGCTTTCAAAGATATGTTCATATATGCAAGAATATTTGGGGAAGATGTTTTTCAACAAGAAGCTGACAGATGAGACTATTGACTGTTTTGTTAAAGAGCAGCACAGTTGAAGCAATTCATGTGCAATATTAATTGGTGAATAGAGATAGAGTTAGCTGTGATTATAACTATGTCAAACCAAAAGCACCAAGACAAATTCCCTGTCCCATCCCGCTGTCAAAAAAATAAAAATAATAAATAAATTAAAAAAAAAAAGTTGTACAAAATGGTACATTGAAAACTACACTTTCCAAATGATTGTATAAATGAGCAAAAGGACTTGAATAATATCTCATAAAAAATTAGTACCTAAAATTTTCCACAGATATACAGGAGAGAGGGGAGGGAAGGAGGAAGAATAAGAAAGCAAAGAATAGATTTTTTTTTTTTTTGTAATAATTCCCACAATAATTTAATTTTTTGTTTTTAGTAAGATTTGAAATAGTGTGGGGACTGATTATGAATCAGTAAATTATAACTGATTAAAAATAATTTTTCATTCCAGATGCAATACCAGATTTTTGCAGAGCTCATTTGAATAGCTGAGAGGTTATTTTTTTCTATTTGAGGCATGATTTTATTACCTGTGATGTACCAGTAAGTTTTTTTCACTGTGAATGTGTAAAACTCTGCATGGTATTGTTGGTTCCTCATGGAGTGAATGTGCAAAAGATAAATGACTGGAAGTGTAACCCAGTTCTATTTCTTCTATCTGTAAAAGCTTTCTAGGTCTTAGTTATCCATTTGAAGCTGGGTCAGGATAATTAAACATATCTGTTATAGGCATATTCCCATGAAATACAGAACACCCAAACTCTGCTCTAACAAAGCAATGAACAGTTTATTTTAAGACTCTTTAAATCTGGAACTTCCATAAGCATCATCATTGTGGGGGCTGTAGTGCTTGCCCAAACCCACATCCCAGAGGTGTGTATGCAATTGTGTAGAAAGTCCATATTGTGGGGGTTTGGATCAACCTGAAAGAAACTTTATTGAAGGACTAAATACATGTATATAGTCAAGAAATAAAGCCTGTTTATCCAGCCACTTAACAGCATTGATTGAAATCTTGGTATAGGCAGGATTTAAACTGAAGTTTACCAAATAGATTGCATGTTGACTCCTGATGCCAGAAATGTGTTTACAATAACTGTGATACAATCAGAAACAGGAATAGGGATTTTACCTTAAGGTGCATTTGAAAAGGTTTTTAGAGCCGTTTTTATTGCTTAACCTATTCCAGTGATACATAAACCTTAAACCTAGTCCTACTAGAGAAGTCACGTACTGACCTAAGCTGGTGAATCTCCACCTAGCCTCAGGAGAAGGCGTTTAATGGGATTAAGAACTGGATGGTTTTTACCTTTGTTTGATGTTCCAGTCTAGAACACCCAGAAAAGAAGTGCTCAAGCAGCTGAATTAGAAAAAGCAGCTGAAAGTAGAAAAAACAGCATACTTGCATTTACACTCAGCTGTAATATGGGTAGAATATGTCACTGCCATGTGGAATACTACACGCTCCAGAGGTCTTTGGTGCCTGAATGGAAAAAGTGTCTGGTTATAAATGATTCTATCAATGGCTTGTGTAAGGATCAATAATATTTATTGAAAGAATACTACTTTATATGTGTGATGTTTATGTTATATATGAGGTCATTTTCATGTATAGTGAAGAAGGTTGATGATTTGTACTACCTTTTTCTATAACAGCAGATCAGGATTTGAAGCCAAGTCTCAGAATCAAGTGCAACTTCAACTGTAAGGTAACAAATGAAAAAGAGAATTGATTTTTACTTAGAAAGTACATCTTTACCTTGATCACAATGCAGTGGTCCAACTGTGCTGCAGACTTGGCTTTGTTCAAGGTAATTTGATATTGATCAGCCTTCAGCTATAATGTTATAACAATGAAACTCATCAAATGTAATTCTACACAGATACCGTTTTCAGGCAAATTCTTTACCTGAGAAATCATTGTATCACAGAGAAAGTGGACTGACAAAAGCATAGCTATTACACTTAGTTTCTTTTTCTCCCTTCTGATGTGTTTGTATTGAGTTTTGTTTGTAACATTTGAAAATAGCTGAGAAATGTGTGGTTCAGATGTTCTGTGAACGTGCTTTTTGCTTTTCAATCTGCTTAAATGTACTACTAATGTAAACAAAGAACTCAAAATGGACTTTTCAGAAAGAGGTAGCACCCTAAGTGTTTCTTTACTCCAAACTATCTCTGAGTTTCAGCTAATTGTCTAAATCCAGTGGAGACTTTTCCCACTTTAATGCTAATAGTGTTTAGACCCTGCCAAAAATCATAGTTATAAATGAGACGTACTCAGCTGGCTTCTTATAACTCTGTTAACATGCTGGCAACTGTCTATTTCCAGTGCAGCAATATGTTTTTCCTGTAGCTTAACAATCCTTTTCCTGTAGCTTAACGAAATAGGATTTGCAGTTGATCAACCCAGTGGCCATATAAGCTGATATATACACTTCTATACATCATGCTGTTACTTCTGCTGTGAGAGTAAGATTTTAAGTTGTATTGACATCTAGAAAAATTATCATATCTTTGACCAGATATAGTTTGCATTGGGTTGCTACAGCCAGCCACATTTTGAAAGGTGTTTTACTTACTGAAAGGTTATGATTGTCATATCACAGAATCACAGAATCACAGAATTTCTAGGTTGGAAGAGACCTCAAGATCATCGAGTCCAACCTCTGACCTAATGCTAACAGTCCCCACTAAACCATATCCCTAAGCTCTACATCTAAACGTCTTTTAAAGACTTCCAGGGATGGTGACTCCACCACCTGCCTGGGCAGCCCATTCCAATGCCTCACAACCCTTTCAGTAAAGAAGTTCTTCCTAACATCTAACCTAAAACTCCCCTGGTGCAACTTTAGCCCATTCCCCCTCGTCCTGTCACCAGGCACGTGGGAGAACAGACCAACCCCCACCTCCCTACAGCCTCCTTTAAGGTATCTGTAAAGAGCAATAAGGTCACCCCTGAGCCTCCTCTTCTCCAGGCTGAACAAGCCCAGCTCCTTCAGCCACTCCTCATAGGACTTGTTCTCCAGGCCCCTCACCAGCTTCGTCGCCCTTCTTTGGACCCGCTCAAGCACCTCGATGTCCTTCGTGTAGCGAGGGGCCCAAAACTGAACACAGTACTCGAGGTGCGGCCTCACCAGAGCCGAGTACAGGGGGACGATCACCTCACTAGCCCTGCTGGTCACACTGTTTCTGATACAAGCCAGGATGCCGTTGGCCTTCTTGGCCACCTGAGCACACTGCTGGTTCATATTCAGCTGACTGTCCACCATCACTCCCAGGTCCTTCTCTGCCTGGCAGCTCTCCAACCACTCATCTCCCAGCCTGTAGCTCTGCTTGGGGTTATTGCGCCCCAGGTGCAGGACCCGGTACTTGGCCTTGTTGAACTTCATACAGTTGACCTCAGCCCATCGGTGCAGCCTATCCAGATCCATATCTACAGTCTTTTTCTGCATCTTCAACATCTTAATTTTAAGACTTATTTTTCTTGAAAAGTCAAATGTATTTGGTTCTGTTTTTTAACTTAGGAATTGATGTTTTCAATAGTCATGCAATTAAAACTTGGTTAGCATTTTACCTTAATACTGAAATGACTTTAGAATGATAAGCTTAATTCTTGTGTTCAATATGTAAGTAGAAGCAATCAGTGTGATTGCTTAAAATAGTCCATTCTCCATTTTTCAGTGAGAGTAACATTCAGAATTCATCGAGACTATGGACATATGTTATTCAGCCAAGTAATCACCATAGTCTTTTCAAAAAGTTGAAGGCATTAAATCTTAACATATTGTATTAGATTCTCACTAACAGAGTCTTGGGCAAGATTTTTATACAAAGAATTTAAAACATGTTAATGAGTAAGTCCAAGTGTAAACTCATTAGCTTAAGACTGCATAGCAGAACATGAAAACAGTGGTGTTTTTTTCCCTTAGGATGACAACTTCACAACTATAAACAGAGCATGGGAAGATATGCTTAGGAGGCACTTCTTTCAGATGAGCTAATTAAGAATGCGCTTTTTATTTGTGTGTGTACCCAAGTGAATAGCACTATTGAGGTGGAAGGGACCAGATAATTTTTAAGTACCATTCACAGTTTGTTCAAGTGGTTAAGTTTCAAGACTATGGTTCAAACTCAAGACTATGGTTCAAACTCTGTGTGGACACATTTCATTCAGTATAATTTGAGAAGATAAAAATGCAAACAGCTTTTGAAGGAATGCAGATGTCCTCTTTAATTAAAAAAAAAAAAAAAAGAGAGAGAGAGAATCTGAATTAGAAAAAATAGAAACCATACCAGATGCAGTTAAATCTTTAATGAAAGATTTAGAATGCAGGGCATTCAGAATATTCTTGTCCACTATTCAAGAACAGTTTTTCTGTGCTACATTTACACTTGTAGCATCATGTCTTTTGTTATTAAATAGCCATGTACTGGTTACGTTTATACTTTATTTTATCTTGTTGCTTTGCTACCTGACCAAAAAAAAAAAAAAAAAAAAAAAAAAAAGGTTGATATCACTAAAGCAGCAATATCACTAAAGCAGCAATCTCAGGTGATTTTCAGGAGCTGAAAATATACCAATACAAATATTTCTATTTGAGAATAATGCTTTTTATGCTGTCTTCTGAGCAATAATATTAACAATAACGTAATATAACTGCAGACCTAGCTCTAAGCATACAAAATTTCACAGTGGACTTTTTCTTTGTAATATTGAGGGTGAAACTGCCACTGTTGCAGGGCAAGTGCAACAATGCAGAACAAATGTTCCCTTACTTCCTTTATGGACTGGGTAAGAATCAAGCAAGAATCTGTAATTAGGCAGACACCAGTGGCTAGAATATATTGTATGTTTTACAAAGAGATAGAAATCAAAGCACTTGATTGTTCTAGGGAATATGTCCAAAAATTGTACCACGACTAGTTGCATTGCTTACTATAGCAATGTTAATTTATTCAGTTTGTTTTATTACAAAGACACATGGCAGTCAGATATGGAGTGACTGCTCCCTAGCAAACGCCATTGAAATCAGCTGGTTTTCTGACTGGAGAAAAGAAATTTTTTTCTATTGGCAAAGAAAACATTTTGACTGGCTTAAAGGCTTAATATGCTCCCATGAACTTTTTATGACTTAATCATTAGAAACAAACTGCTTCATGATCTCTGTTATTTGATGCAAGTCTATTGCTTTTTTACAGTCCATCTTAATTCCAGGGAATAGAAATGTCTTTCTGGCAGATCAGCAAAAACACACTTTTGCAGTTGTTTAGTAGCTCTAGAGAATACTTTACCTGAATGAATCTCTTGAAATTTAAGTGAAGGAATTTGATTGATTTCCACTGATTTTCAGTTCTGAGCTGATTTCCAGTTCTGAGACAAGCCATTGTTGAACAATGTTGAACCTAATGAGACTTGTGCCCTGCTTATTGTCCTCCAGCGCATGGGTGAGTGTTTGTCTATATTCCCCTACTAGCTTTTGAACACGTTGACTAGTTGCTATAAATTGAAGTCTCACAGATATTCATGAAAGTAATTAGTATACTTGAAAATAAGCCAGGTAGAAGAGTGAAACAGTGTAATTTCTCAAAAGTAAAAAGTCTGAATGCTTTTATTATTAGGTATCGAAGAGCCTCTTGTGAGGGAAGTTGGTACAAACACGATGCTGAGAGAAGGTTCGGTCAGACCTTTTATCACTGAGGAACCTGGCCACAAGGTATGAACTTGTAGGAAACTAAAACTAAAACTGTTCACTGTCTCCTGCCTTTATTTTATGGTCTCTCTGGCTTATGATTTCCAGTTTTTCTATGGCCAGTATATTTTTCATATTTAAAATTTAAACCATTCCTCCATTTGCAGGCAAAGTGTCCCTATACTTTGGGAAATGTAAAGGTGTTTTTCTTCAATGCAGGTGGAAAAACAAACAGTCACATTGTCAATCACATCTGACACAAATAACAGTCAGGTAAATTCTCCAAATTCACTTCCCATGCAATTCTTCCAGAATCACAGCTACTTTTGGCTTTTGTTAACTTTTCAGTTAACAAGGATGTTTTCCTGGAGGTTCCTTGGATTCCAGCAAAATTCCATGAACACTCTTTAAAAACAGAAGTTTCTCATTCCTACTTAGTAAAAAATGAAAATGTATCTACTGGATATTGTCTCTTGTTGCCCTAAGAGGCATAGCACAAGCCTAATAAAACAAAATGTGAGAAGGTGAAATGTAAATTGTAGTGCGATTAAATTCTTTGTCAATAAATAGCCAAGGAATTTTACAAGAAATCACCCAGGATCATGAAAAGAGAATAAAAGGTATTATGGTGGTAAATTGCATACGTGTACAAGAGGCACTATTTCAACTCCAGCATTTGAGCTGTGCTCAAATTAAATGCCAGAAGTTAATCTCTACTCTTAAAATTTTAACCCAATTCTTTGTTTAGCAAACTTCGAACATGTGTAGGTGTGGGTAGAAATACTGCAGATTTGTTAGGGCTTGACATCAAATTAAAAAGAAGCAATCTGGTCATCTACAATACCTGCCACACTCTGACTTCATCCTCTCTGAGGATAAAAAGTGGTAAAGGAAACTGATTAGTTACAATGGCAGGTGAGCCCAAAATAATGGTTTGTTTGTTTGTTTAAGGGAAAGAGAACTTGTTCTCAGCTGTGTATCTTTATATGCACAGCAGAGTCCTGTTAAATATCTGAGGAAAAGGGCTCCTGGAAATGTGAAAGTTCTTCTCCTGTCCATTATTTATGTCACCAAGCTTAGACTTCTGTGGAAGATTTCTATCTGCAGGCTTGGTTTTATTCTGAAATTGTAGCTCTGTCTCTCCTTTTTTCTCTATTCAGGGTTCATCTGGAGATATAAACTCTGTGACAAAAGGCAGATAAGGAGACAAAATAGATAATGACAAGATAAGAGAATATAGAAAAAGAAGTTATGCTGAAATCTTTCAGGAAACAAGCACCTACTTTCTAGAGATTTTATGTGACAACTAGAGCTACTAAAGTTATTAATACATAAAGAGGTTGTAGAAGTATCACAAAGCATCTTTAAGAGCATAGGCTATACATTCTTTAAATACATGAAGGACCATTGCATAGTAAGGGAACACAATAACAAATATTTTTCACTTTTCATGTAAACGTTGGGAAGGGAGTTAACAGTGAATAGTAAATCGTGAACCAAAAAGGAAAGAGACAATAGATTATTTCCAAAAACCCTAACAGATTTTGAGCAAAGATCTGAAGTAGAGGTGAGTTGGATATTGGAAAAAAAAAAAAAAATCTAAGAAGTAAACAAGAGTTATAATGAGAAAAATTGTATTAAGAAAATTTGACTTGAAGACCTCTAAGGATGAAACCTGGTAAAAGCTAGAATACCGTTATTTATTCAGTTTGGCAGTTACTCTGTTTGAGGTTATGTTAATGGCTGAGTGAAGAAGGGAGGCATCTTAGGTTTGCTCCAAGCAGTCCTTATTCTTCCTGAAGTTAAATAACAGACAAAAAAAAAAATGTGTTTAGCAAAACATTTATTGAAATTAAAACAGTTTATGGTTATATAGATTTTACTTTAAGAGGTAAATACTTAAAAAAAAAAAAAAATCCTTTGAAATGGTTTACTTTTCAGTAAACATTCTTATCTGTGAATTTTATATGAATTCATGACCAGTTTGTACTATCTTGTCACTTTATGTAACTATTTAGAGTTAAAAATGTATGAAATCATCCAGCTAAAAACTTCACATTTCAGAAGTGGATGAAGTTTTACTTTGAATGAATATGCACGTGCCTGTCAGTTTTAAGGAATATTCATTTTGTAAGGTTTGTTTTCTCTTCTGGCATATGTAATTTCTAAGTGCTGGAAATGTGCTAAGCAATGCACAAGGCAAGCGCTACCAACAGCTTTTGCCATTTAATGCACTTAGAGCTTCATTAATGAAAATATATGGTCATTAATAGACATGCTACTAAAAATTGTCTTAGCTCTGCTGTGAGGTTGGAGAGGAATAGTTTTGTTCTTCTGCTGTAAATTCTTTGATCTGTTTCTTCTATTAGCTGTTTGATGTTACATTATTTGAATTTCATTTCAGTAACAGCACATTAATTTGCTTTTGAATCTGTTTTTTGACTGTTTTGCAGATTGGAGAATTCAGAACAATAATGGTCTCCACTTTTAGGATTTTTTTTTCCTAAACAAAAATTATTTTATATCTCCTTTCTTCCAGCCAGGATGATTTACGCTACTGTATGATGTGAGAAATCCTGCATCTTTGGTTGTATGTGGGGCCTAAGATAGAGCCTACCATAACCGATAAGGTACAAGGGGTTTGAACGATCTTCAGGACTTCTGGATGAACACACCAGAGACCCAACATGTCTGAAGTTTCTGAATCCCACTGTAAGGTAAACTTTTATTTATTTATTTATTTATTTATGGGGGGGGGGGGTGGACAATAAGATACGTAAACCTGACATGTGAAGAGTCTCATCTAATTAGGTAGAGCTGGAAAATCACATGAAAAAAGCTTTCTTTTCCTACTGAGATCATGAGGGAAAATCCACTAATCCACTAGAATTGGAATGGTTAGAATTTGCTTATCAAAATCTTTCAAGAGGAACATATATTTATATGTATCGCATTAACTAAGTATCAGAAATGATGATTCAAATTCCAGAAAGAAAGAAAGAAAAAAAAAAAAAAAAAAACTAACCTTTTAACTACTTCTGTAAATTCCAAATAGGGAAAAACAAATTATTTTTCCTTTATAGACACTATCCAAAAACTACAAGGAGAGAAAAATTTATGTAGGAATAACAGCTAGAAAATAAATGAAATGTTCCTGTTTTAGTAAGGGGTACTATTACTTGATCCATGCATGGAAAAACACTGTCATTTTTCATTGGAGGCTAACAATTTTGAAGCTAGTAGGTTCAGAAGATATTTCATGGTCTATATTATTAAATTGTAGAAGGAGTAATCAAGAAATTCAGCTAGTAGCATGCTTGATAAAATGAGAAATTTTTGTTTAGATTCCAGTTTATGGTTGTTTGCTTTATATTTTACCCTGAGGAAGAAACTTAATTCTACAGCTTTTCTAATGTTATATGAAGCACGCAATAAAGCATAAGGCAACTTTGCCTGGTTTATATTAGAACTTTTAATTAAATGTGTTTTTCATTTATTTTCAAGCTGAATTTTAAAACAAAAAGCAACAGTAGGAGGCTTTAACTGCACAATGTGTCTTTTGAGTTAGAAACAAAAGCTGTCATTGGTTTCTCTGGAGGAGGATCATGCCTTTCATTTATATGTAAGGTGTGACTGAATTTGTAGAGTTTTTCTACATGAATTTGTGGTCTATTCACTTAAGCACTTCTCAGATACTAAAAAATTATCTCTACAAAATTATTGTCAGGAAAAAGACAATTTATTTGCATTTTATGTTTTTTAACAAGGTATGTCAGAAACAGCATATATCTTTGTGGATCTCAAGTGGATCTGTGTTCTATGAATTGACACCTCCTGTACCCCGACCAAATGCCTATGCCACAAAACTGTTGTTCTGTATTGATGTGCTATCACTATTTATGCTATCAGGACATCCATTAGTAATCTGACAAGAGAAATACAAATACAGTTCAATGAAAATTCAAACTCAGCAGACCATATTGGTTTTGGACTGCCTTTGTACTATCTTGTATTATGCAAACTGAAGTCTGTTCAGAGGTTCCAGTTTCAATAAATCATGTCTAATGGGAGAATTGTGACCTGTTGTTACCATCAAAGGGTGGGGATCAAGGTGGCCTTGGTGTAACCTTTCTTTTACCCTTTTCCATCTCAGCTTGTAGCAGCCAAACCACGCTTTCATCAAGACATTGTCTCGGTGTTTTCATACAGTATTCTGATTGGCACACTGAAAATGTGCTTTTAGCAGAGTATGAAACTGAAGATGTTGCCGCAAACTGAGTTGGAGCATGTTGAGGACTTCATATCACACCTGTGCATCCAGGCATTTCTGTATGCCTATAACTACAATTACATTTAATGGCATGCAAATTGCACATTCGGTAGAATCTACCCAAAAGCTTGCTAGACTGAATTCTGAAGCTGTTTTGAAGCTACCTGTCCATTGTTTGGTCAAACCAGAATATAGTATAAATAGAATATAGACAGTATAGAATGAAAGTCGTACCCTTTGGTTAACTTTATATGCATGCTTTATTAAAAACATAGGAGTAAAAATGTAAACCAGGTGAAATAATTCTGTCCTAGAGTTCTAGGAGCTGAAACAAGAGCTGCTTCATTCCACAGAAACATGAGCCTAATTCTTACCACATTCCTAACCTAAGTGTGCAAAATCATGTCTTCAGGTGAGTTTCAGATATACAGCTAAATGTCTAGATACTTATTTGGTTTTCTTTGTTTTATTCAATGTGATGTGAACTGATTGCTTGGGACTGGACTTCTACTGGATGTGAACCTTGCCCTCCATGTTTTGTAACTGCTGGATTTTCAAAAGGTTTCTCTTAAGTTGTGAGCTCTGTAGTTCCATCACCCATTAATATAAAATGTTTGCATCATTATTTCTAGTTGAATGATTCACTTTTTCAGAAGTAATAATAACAAAAATGCTTAAGAGATTTCAGCAGAAAAGCAATAGCCTGGATCCCTCTAGAGGCCATTTGTATAACATTTGGTAGGGAAAAATAATTAAACCTGTCTCCCAATTCTCTGTCCACAAATAAAGGAAGCTCATGTTACTGCCTATTATCTTGCCAGCATGCTTCTGTTGGGTGGTGAAAGCTCCATAATTATTGTACTTGCTCTTCCTTAAACCAGATCATACTCCAGACTGAGTAATGAAGCAGGAGTTTTACTGTACATTAATTTGAAATCTTAAATTAATTCCTATATGCTTATTTCCTTGAATATTGTTTTTTAAAAGATGAGTGTTTCTTGTTAGACAATGATCGACGCACCAGAAAGATAACTTTCTGTTTGCTGTAGTATTGCCAAGGAGCTAATAAAACCAGCTAGACAAAATGAATACTGTTATTAGCTCACATGTGTGCATTTAAGCAAGGCCTGTGTGGATTTGATTCTAACCTCAAGTACTGTGGCATTACTCCTGAGCACATGTGTGTGAAAAAAACAAACTTAAATAACTAAAAGACAAGACAGGCTGCACAAAATGTGCCAAAGTGTGAGTAATTTGAGTGAAAAGGAACAGTGCTCAGCACAGCAAGGGAATGAGCAGAACTTTCTAAATCCTTCATGCTACTTCTGTGATGAAAGCAATCAGAGCACAAATTTAAGATGGCACTTCCTAAATTATCTTTAAGTTCATGCCTTTTGAACACTGATGAATTTTGCACATTAAATGCTTCCTCAGCCTGAGAGCATGTTACTCCAATAACTCATTCAGGCCAATCTGCTTATTGGGGTGTGTGCTTTGACTAAAGGATAGAGATAACACTCCAGGTTATCAGTGTTCACTGTGAAAAAGCAACTTGTGAGTAAAGGGGATGAAGTATAAGTAATGTTCCACAGTCTGACCTTGATCGAGTAAAAAAAACTTGCCACAAAACGTCAAATCAATTTAGACAGCTATTCAGAAAAATAAGAATGTTTGTCTAGTGATCTTGGTAAAATTCATTGGGTAAATTTGCTCTTAGTGATGTTTGCGCTTTGCATAATTAGGGTTGCATAATTTGAGTACATAAGTGGTTTATGATTGATGTCCTTTAAAATATTTTTAGCTCAGCTCTAGTTCTTGTGCTATTTTTCCAAAAATTTGTCATTCTTATCCCCTTCCTAGGAAAGTATTAGGAAGTGTTATCACTGTGTTATTACACAAGATCCTCCCAAACATTAGAAAAATCAATTCTATTTTTTAATGAAATGAATGTAAAGAACAGTATACTTTTATATTTACTTCTGGCATAGAACAAAATTGTTTTTGATCATTCATTATATGCAAAATATCCTGTTATACACCATGAAATGTAAGTTCATCCACATGAACACTGATGAGGTACTTTTGAAGAAGTGTTGGATAAAATCACTATCCATGTTCAACTTTGCTTCAAAGGTGAAAAGCATTATGTTATAATGAAAAATAAAGGTAATTAAAAAAAAATCAACAAAAAAGGGCATGTTTTTATGCAGCATTTCACTATCAGGGAAAAAAATTTGTATCTTACATTCATCTCACACTAGGATATGCAAAATATATGCGTAATCTGAATTGATTTTTTTGACCAGTAAATGTCAACGTATCAGTCTTTAATAGTCTGAGGATATAGTAAAGAAATTACTGATAGTGTCAAAATCTCAGCCTTACTTTCGTATCGGAGCTGAGCCAAGAATTATTGATGGCAAGTGAAAGATTCCAGTGGGCTTTGCATCATCCTTCACTCTGATTCGCCACTTTGCTTAAGTGTCACTTTACATTTTTTCTATGTACTTGTTTATGATACAAGTTTCATTTCAAAGCAGGAAGTATATTTGAAAGCATGTGAGCTGTCATCAGGTACTTTTAAGCAATGTAATTCCTTATGCTGGGTTGATCGACTGGGTAACTGATTTATTGCTGCTTACTTTTGGCTCCATAATTAAGTGGGAAGCAATAATTCAGTGACTGCGTCTGCCAGTAAGTGGAGCTCTTTGCTAGTCCAGGGAGGTCTTCACCAGGAGCATTTTTTATCAGCTGTAGAATTGATATTCAATTTTTCTTGAGCCCTATGGCAGCTTCCACGTTATGTTCTGCTTCAGTTGGTTTACAAAATGAGAGGATGATGACCAAAATCAATCAGATTATAAATTATTTTATTTCCATGGAGATTTTGTTCCCTTCCTCTTTGACAGCCAACTGTTGCATCAATTCTCTCTGTTCCTTAAAAGAAAGGAGAGATTTTAATATTTTAATTTTATCTTTATTTTACTTCTTGTGTGTGTGTGTAAGAAACATATCCTCGTATTTTTAATAAAAATGGGGTGGGTTGTTATGACAGGGATTTGGGGAGGAGGGAAGGGTTTCGCATGTTTTTCATACTTTGCACTTATTACTGACCGATGGGCATTTATAGTAATGGTTCATTAGGGTGCAGAAAGTCAACCCAGTTCTGCCATGATCTACTTTGTGCCTTTATAAAAAGCTTACAGTGTAGGAAGGCCTGCTTTCATGAGAACTGGTCTTCCAAGAATCAACTATATCTTAAATTATTTTCTACTGCAAACTGTCTGGGTTAGGAGGAATTGCTAAAGAAAACATCGCTTTCCAGTCACATGTAGAATTCCAGTCACATGTACGGAAGAATTAAACTATATTCAATCAAGATGATATATCAGGGTTAGTTTTCTAACTTTAACTCTCAAATGAGTCCTCAAGGAAAACAGACTGAATATAACATTACTTTGCTAATCTTGAAGGTATCCTTCTTTATATACTTTATTACTGTTAAAGTCTCATTTATTTATGCTGGTATGTGGTTTATCTGGTATGTTACTCCATATATCCTGATAATATTTTATCCTAATTATTTTATGTATACATTAGCTAATGCTGGGTCAGCCAGCTCTCTGAAGGTGGCTCATTTTGTGTGTAATGTGCGTGCTGCAGTGCTTGTTTTAATTCCCTCTGAGTTTGTCAGTGTTCTTACTGGCCCACAGTCCCAACTGGTATTCTTCAAAGTAGGGCAAGACTATTTTGGCAGGAAAAAGAAATTATTAAATGTGCAGCTATGACAATAAAAAAGGACAAAGAGGAAGATACATTCTAGTGTAGGGCAGGGAAACTGCTCTTTCCTCCTGTTGTGGGGGTGAGTTAAGCAGGGAAATTCACCTCACCTAGGAGATGACTTCTGCCAACTCAAAAACTTCGAATTAAAGCTGAAGGGGAAGGGGGATTGCATCTCTGTAAAGGTTTCAAACAGTTAAAATATTTTTCTTAATGCTTCCAATGAATGTCAACTAGTAAATTAATAGCACTATTCATGTTAGTAACTAAAAAAAAAAAAAAGCCAAAGAAGTGGAACACACTACCAGTGTATAGGTGGAGGCATAGATTACAAAATGGATTAACATGTTGAAGTTGAAAATTGTATCCAGATCTCTTGTGCCCAAAGCATACTCCATGAGGCCTCTCACTTTTGCAACTTTTGAATTTATTTATGTTTTGAGCCTCAGCTTTCCTCTTCTTTCATTGCCAGGACAGTGTTTTCTGGAAATGTTTTGTAATGTTGTGTGCTTGGCCAGATCTTTATAGCCCTGGGAGACAGATTCAAGTAGAACTTAGAAGCAGATCTTGTTAGAATAAAATCTCAAACTTATTTAATAAGGAAAATTCAAAACAACAAAATAAGAGAAAATGGAACTAAAAAGGGTTTGTAAATCAGTGTCATGTATGACAGTCTTTGCAAGCTGCCAGTTGCTTCTATGATTAGCAGTTGAGTCTCCACAACTTTCTGAGCTGCAGCGAAGCATTCAGGATCCAGCTTCCAGGTCTGCCCACATTGTCCCTGAAGACTGTTGAAATTTCTTCCCCTGAATTTGCTCAGCAGCTCTCCAGAAAAGATGCAGCCTCCTCTCTTCTTCTTCTTCTGACCCACTGACTTCTGAGAAGAATACGACATACAACAAAGAATGCAAAAATTAAATAGCTGCAATCCTCCCCTTGCAGAAGATCCTTCTCACATGGGAAGGTAGAGAGGATCACTGAATCTGGAGAAAAAAGTACCCTTAAACAAACAATCAGAAGGGCTCATAGCTATAGGGAAACTACGAAATGAAGGGGAAACAATGTATTAATGAGATGATAGCTGCTCACACCAGCTTTCTCCCTGTAACCTATTGTGTTTCTCAGCCTCAGCAGAAAACAAAGCTTACCTGTGTTTTCCTTCAGGTCTTCAAGGGATTGATTGTTTTTTGAAGTACAAAGACCTACTTCATTTAACTGTTAAGGGCTTTCATTGGTGCTATGAAGTCTCACAGATTCCAAAAAATACACCTGTATATCTCTGCAGGATCACATCGTTTTACTGCTGATGCAGCATAGTAAGAGTGTATTTTAGATCACTCCCAGGCAAATCTGGCTTTTACTCCATATAAAAGTCAGGTCTTTAAAACATAGCTCAGTTCAGAAACATACTCTGGGACTGTTGCCTCTTAAAAGCAAGGAAGGCAGTAAATAGTTATGTTCAATCAAAAAAAAAAAAAAAAAAAAGCCACAAAGCTTCCCTTAAAGACCACTATGTCAGTGCAATGAGCCATAAGGCTTTGGTAACTTATATTCCTCTCAGTTGTGTGTGATTTTGTAAGAGGATGCATTAGTTAACACTAATGAGTCCTTGCCTACACACTCTCATCTTTGTAACTAACACACCAGCATTTGTCTCAGACCATTACAGTAACATTATATCAACCTACATAGCTAACTGTGATTTATTAGACTGCAAAACAAAAGCAATGTAAAAATTGGCTAGAATGGATATTGGGAGAAGAAAAAAAAAAGTCAGACTAATCTCACTTTTTTTCCTTAAAACATGGTGCAGACATTCTATCCCAATCAAGATCATTGTATATTCTTTGCTTTACCTTTACACTTAGAAATTCCATCTAGAACAAACCTGATTTTGCAACTGTATTTAAATATGCTCTGACAATATACATGAACATTGCAGGAGGTGTCAAAAGTCTGAAATCCAGATAAGGGCTAACTGACAAACTACATACCCATAAGTCTAAATGTGGAGAAGAGTAACATTAAC